CATTAAAACACCAAACTATTAACAAACCTGACTTCAAGCTTGTGGTCCTTGTAACCAGCATCTGCCATGACTTAACGGAGAACAGAAGTCCAGGAGCTGCTGAGGTAATAGGTGATTAAAGTTGAATCAGTGTTCCAAAACAAAAGAAACCATCTACCCACCTACAAAAAGCATTTGTTAGCATTCCCCTGTCTCCTCTCTTCTTGTTTCTCTTGCTATCTAGAGTTCTTGTAATTCTGTGCAAGGCTCCCTGTGGGAATAAATTGCTACGCAATGGGCTTTGAGTGAACTTGCTCATGGGAGATCCAGAGGTAAACTGGTGAAGGTGGCCAACTGTGACCCCCATTTCTATCTGCAGAATGTCAGCTTTTGTTTTTAAAATATTAAGTTTATTGTCCTTAAAGATGCAAAGAAAAACCATTAAAATGTGAACAGAATGTAACTAAAGGAGCGTTGTTTTATTGGGTCTGCAATCAGACTGACTGAAAGGTTATCTGTGAGAAGTGTTAATTGTAACATTCATCTTATCTAGGAGTGAGCCTAGAATTGACCATGGCCTAGAATTGACCGTGGCCAGCTAATATGTATTTAAAGGTGTTAGACTCTGTCTACACTAGTATTTAAAAACATGTTAACTAATGCATTTTTAAACACAACCTATTTTCCTAATCTAGACATTTAACTCAGTTAAATGAGATATGGTAGGCAGTGCCTTTATGTCAAGAATTTTTCACTCCTGATCATTTTAGCGGAAACATCTAGACAATGTACTTACCTAGTGGCATCCACATGGTATTAGGAGCCAAGAATTCAAGGGTTCTATTCCTGACCCTACCACTGACTCAGTTTGTGACATTGGGCAAATTACACACTTGGGCTGTGAATGGATGATCTTGTGAGCTAAGGAGGGTCATTTTGAGAATGTGGTTGGGTAGGGGAGCCTGCAAGGAAAAACGCCTTGTGCTCCAGGAAATGGTATAAGTGCCCAGTAGGTGGCATTCTTCGCTCTTTATGGAGGGTAGGTCGTATTAGCCGAGATTGTCAGGGATGCAACTCCATGCTCTGGTGTCCCATAGCCTCTGATTGCCAAATATTGGGACTGGACGACAGGGGATGGATCACTTGATAATTGCCATGTTCTGTTCATACCCTCTGAAGCATCTGACACTGACCACTGTTAGAAGACAGGATATTGGGCTAGATGGACCATTGGTCTGACCCAGTATGGCCATTCTTATGTTCTTAACCTCTTTCATCTTCAATTTCCCCATCTGTAAGATAGGGATAATACTGTAGAATTAATTTTTTTATTGTTAGTATATTTTTATGGATTCATTAAGGGTTAAGATATGGGAAGCAGTTTTCGATTTAGCATTCCTACTTTGATGATAAACCACCGCCTTTTGGCTACCATGCCATAATTACTCCAGTTTCAGTATTTAATATGTGGTCTATAGCAGTGAAATTTAGCAAGTCATTTTTTATTTCTTTGGTAAAATTTTATTAACACAGAAGGATTGGGGTAAAAGGCTTGACAACCATACAAAAATAAAATAGGTATGAGCCTGCCTAGGACCAAACATGGATCAGCAACTCCAAGTGAAGAACAAAAATTAATAGCTTTATTAATATTTGTTACAGCATTCAAAAGCTTTCTAGTTGCCTCACAGCACACTGTCTGGTTCCTTGTATTCTTACCTGGGCAAGCTCTCAGACAAAACTCTCTCAGTCCATATTATGAATGATTTTATTTTATTTTGATTTAGATTAAATAAAAAATGCCCATATATCACCGTAGAGCACCCTGCCAACTATTTAAAGTATAAAACTAAAGTGCAGTACAACCAACTCAACCCTTCTATCTAGCAGCATACTCAATCAGTCAAATACTAGTGCTTCTTTATATCAGCCCGTACCTCAGTCCACCTACCTCTCTTTAAAGGCCAGGTGAAACAAATATACATAACGTTCTTAAAACTGATCATGGGCTAAGTCAAGTGGGCATGGAGATTAGGCCTGGGTATCAAACTACTCTGCAACATTAAGAAACTCCTCAGATATGGTTCATCGGTGAACTGAAGCCAATGTCTCTGCAAATCTCTCTCAGACAAGAATATTTAACCCACACCATACCGGTACTGCCAACCCTAAGCTTTCAGAAATCATGAGCCATGTCTCCAAAATCATGAATTTGGTTTAATAATCATGTTGTGGTTTTTTGTTTTTAGTTTTTAAGTTTTGGATTCTTTTTCTTTGCATTCTGGTTTGAGCCTTTCGGTAAAACCAGTTCATATTTTCAGACTTTTCTCTGTACCCATGAGTAGAGAGCCCTGAGTGTGGATACAAATTTATATCCGCGTATACGGATATCCGCAGATATAAATAGATATCCGCAGGGGTCTCCTAAGAACTGCAACGGCGAAAGGAGCAGAACATGGGGCTGCCACTCCCAGGAGCCAGGGCCCTGTGTCCACAGTTCCTCCAGCGCTGCTGTACTGGCTCCAGCCCTGTCGTTCTGTGCAGTTGTACCGCCCCCAGCCCCTCCCCCAGCCCTGTCCTTTGGCGCAGCTGTACCGCCCCCAGACAGGAGATGCAGTCACGCAGACAGCTGCGTGGAAGGGACAGGGGTGGGGTGGGGCTGAGGGTGGTACAGCCACACAGGAGGAGCTGCTGGCTCGGGGCACTGGCTCCTGGGAGTGGTGGCCCCATGTTCTACTCCTTTCGCTGCTGCGGTTCCTGCGAGAGCCCTGCGGTTCCACGGATACCGATTTTATGTCTGTGGATATAAATTTATATCCGCGCAGGGCTCTTCTACCCATGAGGGCTAGAAACTTCCTTGTCTTTTAAATGAAAGCTGAGATTTTCACAGTCACTTGCCTCCAGCTGTTGGGGTTTTAAGAAGAACACCTGCTATTGCAAGACTAGTGAGAAAATCACGAGTTGGTAAGAAAGCAGTGCTGTGCAGAGGGAATTGTTGCAGTAGCCCTTATGAGATTCTTTGGAGGAAAAAAAAAAACCTCTTCGTATTTAACACTTTCTATGTAGAACTTCATATCAAATAGCTAGGCTTGGCAGGATTCAGTTTAAATCAGTAGATTTCAGTAAACGTCAATTTCAGCTGACACATTGAAATCAATGAAACAAAGATTGATTGGCGACAGTGGACTGGAGTGCAACTTCCTCCCATTGAGGCTACAGGGATTGGGTGTCACCAGCCCTGCAGCAGAATTTTTACCAAAGAAAAAGTTTAAAGGGCATAAAAAAATTGTCATCAATAACTATAGAATTGGTTGCATTTAAAAAAATTTTTTTTTTTGAAATGATGAGGAAAACATTATTGCTAATTTTTTAACATGTTTTGGCCAGCTCTAAACAATAGGTAGTTTTGCTAATGTTAGATTTTTGTGTTGACTATTCCCGAATGAGGTGGGATCCAGTGGAAAGAAAAGGATGTGATCTGTAAAAATTGTGTCATAATGCATATTCATAAGGGGGCAGGTTAAGGATAATCAGGCAACTCTGAATCTGGTATTTCCTAACTGTTGTGTGCTTGGCTTTGCAACCTTAAGAAAACGTTGTGTTTTGTTTATGTTAAAAAAAAATAAGTATTTGGGTTTTTTTTTAACAAGTTACAAATATCAACAAACAAGCATCAGAATTCTATCTTTACACATATTTACAAACTCAGACATACCTATCATACATATTCATATTTTTACAAAATTAAACGGGGGAGGGGGGAAACTAATATATAGTTCATGCATATTTGTGTGTGTGTGTATCTGATGTGTAACAGTGGAGGCTTGAAAACTGGTTCTCATTTCTGTAAAGGTTTTTCATAACCTCAGTTTGAGGAGTTTAGCATTGATCAAGTAAGAAAAACAGTAGAGCGAAGCAGGAGATGAAGAGGGTCTTTGCAGCAGGGAGATAAATTTAAGAACGAGGTGATGTTCTGGTAATAAGGATAGTTCAGCAATAACTATATGATTTTGTGTTTTCTAAGCCACTCACAAATTGGTGATAAAGCCAGTGTGATTGTGTACAGTGAGGGGGATTGTGAAACAGTACAGCCTTTAAAATGCATGTGGGCAGAAAGTTTATTTTTGAGAAGTACTCTGTACAAGACATTCACCCATCATCCTCATTGCAGTGACGTGTTGCAGTGTACTTAGCCCTTGTTAACTACAGACTGTCCCGCAACTCTGTGGACACCTGTAACCATTCATTTTTATTGGTCTCATTTAATTTTAACTGAAAATTATTTAACACTAGATTTGGTTTTTTTAATCACCTCTCAAACATTTGCCATGAATATATTGCTCTGTTAAAACCAATTTGGAAGAATGTCTCTGTCACTAAAAGATTGGCTGCCTCTCTCCATTTCCTCTCTCTAAACCCCTGTGGCAATAACACACCTGGAACAGACAGTGGAATGATCCTCTCTTGGGTACTTTATATGTAATTATGTTTTCCTTCTCCTGTATCTTGGGTCTCTCCTGAGTGATGTAAATCACCCCCTCACACATGAAATCATGCAGGGTCAATTCTTGGCAAGATGTGACATCTGAAATGCTGCAATTTTTTGGGTGGGAGAATAGAAAAAATACTCTCTCATACATTTTTTTTTAAACATTTTCTTCCCTCACTGTATGTTAATTGTCACTTCCTCTAACAATATATTAATTGTCATTATATTAAATCCTCCTTTTCCTCATTGTCTTCTAGTTTAGGCCCTGATTCTGGCAAACACCCCTGTCCAAGACAAACATGCTCATCTTTATGTATGTACTTAAGTTCCCTTGAAGTTAATGGGACTTGAAGTCAGTAGGCCTGAAGCAACTGCCTAAAGTTAACCATGTGCTTAAGTGTTTTCTTGAATTGGGACCTTACTCTATATAAGAGGTGGATTTATTTGAAATAAATGTCTGTGTTTTTGCTATGTAAAGCACACACAAAATGTTAACCCTGCTCTCATCCAGATATTATTTTCCATCCCTTAGATGGGAAGGCGGTGTCGCTATCGCCAATCGAATCTCAGCCCCATAGCCCTCATTACACAGCCTCGAACCAGCGGGAGCGGGAGAGCCTGGAAATACGCATGCGGGAGGTGGAGGAGGAAAACCGGGCACTCCGCAAGCAGCTCAGCCTGGCGCAGAGCCGGAGCCCAACGCACCGTCGTGGCAATCACTCAAAAACCTACTCCATGGAGGAAGGGACTGGGGACAGTGAGAGTCTGCGCGCTGGCATCGTGGCAGGGAACAGCTCAGAGTGTGGGCAGCAGCCAGCAGTGGAGAAGTGTGAGGTAAAACAAAATGCATTACCAGAAACAATGAATGCTGGGAGGGGTGGGAGATTTATTCATCCAAGGACTGTGCTTCTGAAAATGCTGCAATTCCCTTCAAGGGACGTTGTGCAGTAAATTCTAATGGATTTACATTGTACTTTGTTTTTGTCCTCTTTTGATGCTCTTGAAAATATTAATTTTTCTTCCTGATGTTGGTCTCTGTTGTTATTTGGCTGATGTCTTGTTTTTGATTCTCGTGGTCCAGATTCAGGTGTAAACTGGCCTCTGACTGCACTAAAGCAATGCTGATATACGTCAGCTGTGAATCTGGCCCCAGATGTTTCCAAATGAGCTGATAAAGACATAGTGCTTTTTAAAATCTTACTTCCTTGTTTGTGCACCAGCCGTCCTGTCAGCACAACTCTTGAGTTTCTGTTCCTTAGATTGCTGCTGTCTAATCTGTTTGCTCTTCTGAATTGCCTATCAATGGAGTATCTAGTAGCAGCTGATGCAAAGCCACATGTTCTGTACAATTAGCTACTGCAGACTCTTGTAGGAGAGGTGTGGTCAACTCCATGGGCTTGGGGGGGGTGTCTGTTTTTGAGTAGTAGTTCATTTTATGCCTGCATGTTTGCAGTGGATGTCATTTAGACTTTCAACTATTTGATTGTATCTGCAAATCAGGTAGTTGGACATCTAAGGTATATCAACATGCACCCACAAATGTTCAGGTGTAAAACTGGAAGCCAGGGTGAGGCCTATTTCAAAATGAACCCAAACTGGAAGGGGCAGGAGGGTCAAAAATAGATTACCTACCCCCATTAAAAAATTAACACGTTTAATCTGATACCTGTCACCCTTTTTAGCTTGTTTTTTTCCCCTGGAAAAAATAGAAGGTGAAAAATAATACAATTGAGGGGCAAAAATTAGTCCTAATTATCTCTTCATATAAAATTAGGCCTGCTGCCTATTCAGCTGACAAATTTGATATATCTATTAAAACTAAAACACAGGTTACCAGTGCTGGGCTTTTTTTCTGACAATCAAAAAATGTAATACTGGGGCTAAAGATGGGGTGTCAGATTTTTTTCCTCCGAACAATGAGGGTCTGATCTTTCTCTCTGTGTAATACAGGAGACATGTGTCATAGAATTCAGTGGCAGGAGGATAAGGCCCTAAGTAAGTAAATTTGACCTTCCTTCTTATTCTTAGTCAAGCACTGCTTAGCTCATTCCTAGCCTCAATACCCTCAACCAATTTAAGGCAAGTGAATAGCTGTTAAAAAAGAAAATGTTTTAAGTGGCCTTCCAGAAATACATGTGCTTCCTCTGTAGGGTTTAGCTGGAGGCAATGGTTATATAAAACATGAAACCTCACTGCGCATTCCGTGCCCCTATCTAACCACATGCAATATTGATAACGAAATAGCTTTTCCTTCTTCTTGAGGAATTCACATTATAATTCACTCACACTCACACAGAGTTTTTCAAAATTTGAAGGTATTAACTGAATCTTTCTACATTCCTGACCTAAGAGCGCCTGTAGCAAGGCTTGGAGTGTGAAGTAGAGAAGGGGAAGGGCCTGGGAAGCAGTACAAAAGAAGGGGCAAGGCTAGAGCTCTGTGGGAGAATAAAAGTGATGGTACTAGACTGTTGATCACCATCAAGGAGCTCTTTAAATCTTGAAACATTTAATAACTTTCCATTTGGGGTAGTTTTAATAAAATATTTGAAAATGTGATTAAATGTGATTAAAATTTATTATCTGATAACATATGATTTATGTGATAATATTTATGATGTAGCTGATGATATTTAACATTTTATAGCATGTGCAACATATTCCAGCCCAACCACCACTTCCTATTGTGTCCTGTGGACTGGGATAGCTGTTCAGATGGGGTAATGTAGCACGAGGGGCAGAGAAATCTGATCAGGTCTGTGGTCATTCTAATCTCCTGCTTGCATTAGCTAGATCCAAGTCTTGTGAAAGTTCTATGTCTTGCACTCATAGATCTTCCACTACTAGTGGACAGACTTATTGTTGTGGTGGAATGTGGCTGTTGTGGGAGATTAGGATTGCAGAGGGAGGGGCGCTGTTAGATTGCTCTGGGCAATACAATGGAACATAAGAATGTAAGAACGGCCATACTGGGTCAGACCAAAGGTCCATCAAGCCCAGTATCCTGTCCTCTCACAGTGGCCAATGGCAGGTGCCCCAAAGAGAATGAACAGACAGGTTATCATCAAGTGGGCTTGAATATCCAGACAATGGTTTAGAACTGGACTTAGCATTAAACATGCGCAGAGCAGAGCACTGGGGAGGTGTCTTCATGGTGATGGTCTGCTACATTTTGTGACAGCTGGAGCTTTCTCAGGGTATGGTGGCTTCATACTTAGATATGAGTTGCAGAATTGAGCGTGGAAGTTATTGTCATATGCACCACAAGTCAATATCTAAATTATTCAGCCATCTGGCTTCATCGTCAAAGGTAGCAAGGTGTTGCACTTCATCCTCCAGCCTTCTGTTTGTGCACTCCTCCACCATATGTTTGACCATCCACATGGCTGCCCTGCGGTCACCCTGAAAGATTGGGCTAAGCCAAATTTTGGCATTATGGCAGCCACTATGGCTGTTCCAGTCAGCAGCTTGTTAAACCAAGTCCAGGAGCTGTGTCCCAAGCTGCAAACAAGTGGACATGGGTTAGGTCTTCTAAAGTTTGTCAGCATGCCTGCCTCTCTGTACCAGAGTGGCTTTCACTTTGCGAGGACATAGCTGTTGACCTCAATATGCCCTGGTTCATCTGAGATTGGTGTTGGACTGGCAACAATGGACATCAGTGCATGAGTGGCTACTGCTAAAGGATGTCACAAAGTCAGTCATAGTAAGTCAGCAGAAATTGCAGGTTGTGTAAGTGTTTTCTTTCAGAGGCATGCAGATCTTCTGTGCATCGCTTACTTGCATATTTTGTCAGCCTTGGATGCAGCAGGTTGTTTTCATCCATCATAGCTCTTCAGGCAGTTTTCAGGATGATGGCATCTCCTTGAAGTTTGGGGGAGCCATATAGGCCAATACATATAAATTAGATGTTAATGTGTGGCGAAAAGAACCGCTAATAGTACGGGTGGCTTTGTTCAATGCCGAGTCAATGTGATGCATGTACTGACTTCTGCCCAATATTCCACTGGAGCAAATACCAGGGCTAGGACTGAAGTTCATAGAACATTTGCCTATGCTCCCCAGGAGGTTCCTGCTTCTGGATCAAGGCAGTGCAGGAGGTGATCTTTTTCTTCAAATGTTCTAGATGGGACCGATATGTTAAATTATGGTTTAGTTTGACTCCTAAATAAGTGACAACTGACTGGAAAGGAAGTGGATGATCCTCAACACAGACTGTAAGGGGTTGATTGGCTAAGCCATTTTTCAGATAGAATTGTGGCCACTGTCTTAGACTCAGTTAATATAAGTGTCCACTGAAGAAGGTAAGTGGCTGGAGCATTCATGTCCTTGCTGAGTGACCCTTCAGTGTCGTATAGAATGTTACCCATGTCAGCCAGACAGGTATCATCCCCATGTATGTTCTTATTAGCCTAGTTGTTGGTAGATCATAGGTAAGTAGGTTAAAAAGAAGAGGAGCTAGAATGGATCCTTGCAGAAGTCCATTACAGAGATACCTAAATTCACTAACTTTGTCTCCAGATTGCAAGATCAAGGTCCAATTCCTTATTTCCATGAAGAACTGCACCAGCTTGGCTGTCAGTCTGTCATAAATATAAAGGGAAGGGGTTAAGAAGCTCTGATACAGTACTATAAAATCCTCTTACCTGTAAGAGGTTAAGAAACTCCAGTAACCTGGATGGCACCTGACCAAAAGAACCAATAAGGGGACAAGATACTTTCAAATCTGAGGGGGGGGGGAAAGGCTTTGGTCTGTCTGTGTGATGCCTCTGCCGGAGACAGATCAAGAAAGCCAGCAATCCAACTCCTATAGAGTTAGTAAGTAATTTAGCTAGAAAATGCGTTGGATTTTTTTTTGTTTTGGCTTGTGAAATTCGCTGTGCTGGAGGGAATGTGTATTCCTGGGTTTTTTGCTTCTTTTTGTAACTTAAGGTCTTGCCTAGAGGAATTCTCTATGTTTTGAATCTGATTGCCTGTGAGATTATGTTCCATTCTAATCTTACAGAGTTGTTCTTTTATCTTTGTTTTGTTCTTCTAATAAAGTTCTGTTTTTTAAGAATCTGATTGGGTTTTTAGGGTCCTAAAAATCCAAGGCTTGTCTATGCTCATCTTGTTTATTCTCAAGCCTCCCCAGAAAAGGGGGTGTAAGGCTTGGGGGGATATTTTGGGGGAAGAAGTCTCCAAGTGGTCTCTTCCCTGATTCTTTTTTAAAATCGCTTGGTGGTGGCAGCATACCGGACCCAAGACACAAGAAAAAAATTTGTGCTTGGGGAAGTTTTAACCTAAGCTGGTAGAAATAAGCTTAGGAGGTCTTTTCATGTGGGTCCCCACATCTGTACCCCAGAGTTCAGAGTGGGGAAGGAACCCTGCCACAGCCCCACATGCCATACGGTGTCATATGCAGCTGACAAGTCCCATCAGGACAGCACCAACTATTTTGTCCTTCTTGAAGTCATCTTCAGTGTCTTGTGTTAGACAAGTGACTTGGTCTTGAGTACACAGTCTTGAAGACCATTGTCCTGGAGGTCACAATGTGTGAGTCAGTGTGGCCAGGTCTGGGTCTGATAGGATGGATAGAATCTTCTAGCCAGTTGCAGATGGAAGTGGGTATCCAGGAACATCGAGGAATTTCAAAAGAATCTATGACTGCTGACCAATTTAGTAGTCGGAGGGAGATGTCCTTGATAGTGAGGAATTACAGAGGAGGCAAGTTCTCTGAAGTGCTTACCTCTTCCTTCCAGCATCGCTCAGTCGTGCCTGGATTTAAACTGCTCCTCATCCAGGTTCTGAATTTGGGTAGCATAAAGAAAGCTGGGAGATGGCACTCTTTGCCTTTGAGCGAAAGGAGATATAGAAGGGGTTGGTGCCTGTGTATTGCTGATGCTGCAGCCCATCTTGTCTCACCAGCTTTCCCAGTGGCTTTGTACAAATGTTGAATAATATGGGGGATTGGACTAAGCCTTGCAGCACACTGCAGATGAAGGCTTTGGAAGATGGGGAACCAGCTATCCATAATAACCCTCTGAAATATTCCAGGGCATTTTTGTTATTCCCACAGCATCTTGGAGGCAGGAAAGGAGCATCTGGTGATCAGTAATATCAAGTGCTGCAAAGAGGTCCAGCAGGAGTCATATGGATATGTTTCCCTTGCCTCTGGGCCGGGGGAAGTAATTCAACAGAGCAACAAGTACCGTCTCTCTATTGTGCTCTGGCCTGAAGCCTGACTGAGAGGGATCTAGGACATTGGCAGCTGACAGATGGCACGAGAGAGAAATTTTTGGTAACTTCTCAACCAACTTGCTTAGAAAAGGGAGGTCAGAGACAGGACAGGCTTATGCTAACATAGTTTAGAATCTGATTTTTCTGGTCAGGACAGACCAGGCAAAACTCTGCTTGTAAGCAATATTGTGTCTAAGCCCAGTCTATAACATGGCTTCGGAATGATTGTACCTAGTCTACAATCACCCGAAGAAAGTAGGATTTAAGCTGTGTATAAAACCAGTCTGCTAACATGACTTTAATTGACAGTAAGGGCTTAGATCTCCATGAAGCCATAGATAAATTGGGAGACACCCAGATGGGAGATTAACCAAGCATATTGCAATTAGGAATATCCCGGAATCCAAGTCTATGGATGCAGCAGTTTTAGGTTAAACTGCTCTTACTCTAGCAACCTATCTTGTTTTGTTATATCAGACGTGGGGTCTGATCTTGCTAAGTGCTGAATGGCCTCAACTCCACTGACTTCAGTGTGAGTTTATAGCATTGAATACCTCACAGTGTTGCTCCCAAAGTTTCTTGCAATACATCTAATGTGACTGATCGCTAAAGCTACAATTTTGTCAAGAAATTTTTTTTAGTAAATTTCCCAGGGAAAAATAAGTCACAGAAAGGTCACGGGTAGTTTTTGCTACATCAACATACACAATAATATAGTGGGGTACAGTGGCTGAAAGGTGAGAGAGGAGAGCAAGCCCACCCTGCACTCACCCTAGAGCAGTGGCTCCTGTCCCCTGGAGTTGGGCCCCGCTCCCTCATGTGAGCGTTGCAACCTGGTGCATGGGGACACAGCACCAATCAGGTTTGCCCATCTATCCCATGTAGATGGAGACAGAGGGGCAGATGGGTCAAACCTGAGGGATGCTAACCAAATATGTTTTTACCACAATTTCTAAGATTTCACAAACTCTACTCAATCATTTATGTGATCTTGTGACAAAATCATAGCCCTACTGATACCTAACACATGGTGCAGCTCTTCTTCCTGCCACCCACCACTCCAGATTCTGGTTGTATGGATAATACATGTCTCTCAAAACCTACAGATCTTTCCAGCCTGTGTTGTAGTCCACTTTTGGGGACTGCTGACTAGGTGAGGAGTGAGAATTCCTATTTGTTCTCTGCATAGTGGACTCCCTCCAGAAAGTGAGAGCTGTCTGAGTGAGAAACTAGCTATCCAAGCTTCAAATGGAAACCAGCTAGGCATCCCTACACCTTTACAGCTACGTCCAGTTTCAGAGCTTTGTTCTGTCAGCGTGGTGAGCCCTCTTTGTTCATTTAAAAGAAAAAAAAGGAAGAGTGGGGATGTTCAAATCAAAATCTGTAAAGGTTAATTTTCTGTTTCCCAAAGCAATGGCAATTATTTACTGTGAACCATTCAGAGCAGGGTAAATATCAAGTTAGTTAATAATTATTGCTGGGGACCAGTAGCACCTTTTCACCTTTCCCTACCCCTCCTTGAGCCTATAAGAAGAACTTGCCAAATCTCTGCCTCAGATTCAAAGGAGCGTGGGGGAGAAGTGGTAAAACTATTTTTGTGTCTTCCTCCATCCTTGCTCTCCCTCAGATTAAAAGCTAAATAACCATATTTAGCTTTTAGATGATGTAAAATTCCTGAACTTATCTGCTTATAACAAACATACATACATTTGTAAATCTCAGTACAGTAGATAAAATAGTGTTTAAAATGTGTCTGCATATTTGCATACTTTGAATAGTATACACAGAAATTACAGATCTATATGGAATACATATACACACAAATATAAAATACTCACACAGTTGATAAATACAATGTCTTTCCTACATCAGATGTAATTTAGCAACAGTAATGACTTTGGAATGATGATGGTGTTATAACTCAATTAAAATGTTTTTAACAAAACTGCCTCAAGTGGGCTGCAAACAGCTGCAGACCACTCACTCCAATCTCTAACAATTGCCGCAATAAATATAGCCCTGTCATGTATGTTTTTTCTTTCATGAATGATAAAACACAAAAAAGGCTTTATTTTTGTTCCTTTTGTTTCCTTTTCTCCCTCAGACGATCCACGTCGCCATTGTTTGTGCTGGGTACAACGCCAGTCGGGATGTTGTCACGCTTGTCAAATCAGTCTTATTTCACAGGTAAAAGTGGCTTTCTCTTCTTGTATGTTGTGTGTCTGAGTCCAACAAAATAAGCACTTGCTCTTTCTAAACTCTCCCTTCGGGGGAGATCAGCTCTCCTTGCCAGGCTACAGCAAGTAATCCTGTTTGTTTGGAAGCAAGACAGGTTGGGATTTACATCTAACCCGCACTGTTCCAGGAGTAGTTTACAACTCCTCCTTCATGCAGACTTCTGTAGTGGGCTCATGGATCAGTGGTCCAGTCAGTTACACCCAATACATTATGGGAGCATAGGGACTTTGTCTGTTTATCTGTACTATAAAATGCCTAGCACACTTGAGTGATGTAAAATAACAATATAATACTCATTAGGCCTAGGTCTAATAGTTTATGGCACAGGTGTAGATTTATATACAAACACGGTGATTATGTTGCCCCAGCCTATAGTTTACACCATATTTTTACAAAGTAGACCTGTTACCGTACACAATATACTCACCAAGGTCTAGATTGTGCACTCCTATGTCTTCAGTGAGCACATGGTATTCACAATCTGACCTTAGCACATCAAGTGCAGTTAGAGCTATTAGAGGGTGACCGTGTTTGAGACTGAAGAAGAAATGTCCAATCGCCAAAAGAAATGGCACTCCTAGAATATTGGCATTGTGTGTAATGGTGTGTACTCATCTTATGTTCACTGGTCATCTTGGTGAGGGACAACAAAAAGGTGTGTCTACGCTCTGAATGGTGTGTAGAGTACAGATGCTGCATGCCTCAGCTAGCCAGGGTATAAATAGCAATGTAGATGGGGAGGCATAGCTTAGACGAGTAGAGTGCCCTACAAGCCTGAACCTCCCCAGGGTCTATACCCTGCGTGACTCTCCACATGCCCAAGCTGTGACTCCCACGTCTACACTGCTATTTTTAGCAGTGTAGTGTCCTGCTTCCTCCTCACCATGATGAAAGTCTTTCCCCACTGCCTCTACACTGCCAGAGCCTTTCACTGTGGCATATTGCTACACATCGCAGTATCAAGTGTGAATGCAGCTTGCCGTTCGCTGTGGAGTATAGCTAAGCCTGTAATGTCTGTACTCCACAAACCGCTGTAAGTGTACATGTAGTGAAATGTTTTCCTGGGGGTGGGGAGGGGAAGGGGTGGAAAGGGTGGAGAGAGATGATCAACCTAAATCAGACTAAGTAGGTTATCAAAATGTGCTAAGAATGAATACTTTGCCCTTACTCATGGTCAATGTTACACCTGGCACCAGGAGTGGTCCCATTGAAGCCAGTAGGCATGATTCTTCACTGCCTTGCAGCTTGTGTAGTCACTTATTACCAGTGTAAAGTGAATGTAAAATACTCCTAAATTAGAAGGGTGGTGTGAGCCCTACTTAGTACAGCTGTAAATGACTGCACAAAGTGCAAGGCAATAGAGAATCATGTCCAGTGAGACCATTTGTGGAATACTCAATGTGAACAAGGGTATCAAAATGTGACCCTAAGGGTATGTCTACACTGCAGTTGGGGGTTTGATTGCAGCACATGTAGAAATACTAGAGTCAGCTTTGGTCTAAGATAGATTAAATGTTAGATCATGGACACCAGCTGCTCTAGTATGTACCCAGGGTCCCAGGTGGGGAGAGCTAGCCGCTGTAGCTCTCTGAGCTTCTGAGACTTCACTGTCTTTATTGCCTGAGCTAGATGTGAGTTAGCTAGATCACAGCTAGCTCGGGTATGTCTGTGTGCTGCAGTGACACCTCCCAATTACAGTGTAAACATTCGCTTACAGTGACAGTAGTAGAAGAATCCCGGGCTTATCTATACACATAGTTGAACTGGTTTAACTTAGGGTGTGACCTTAAATTTAAACTTGTGAAAAATGCTGTATTGACACTATTTCACTTTAAGTCAGGCTTATTTCAGTTTAACTTAAGTTGATTAGGAACAGGTTCAAGCTAAACTATTAAACTGAAATGTGTGTGTCTACACAGGGGTTTTCAACAGCTTGACTATTGTCTATTATTGATTTTAAGGAGTACTGTGGAAAGGGATCTGGGGGTCATAGTGGACCAGAAGCTAAAGATGAGTCAACAGTGTAACGCTGTTGCAAAAAAAGCAAACATCATTCTGGGGTGTATTAGCAGGAGTGTTGTAAGCAAGACATGAGAAGTAATTCTTCCACTCTGCTACGTGCTGATTAGGCCTCAACTGGAATACTGTGTCCATTTCTGGGTGCCACATTTGAGGAAGGATGTGAACACATTGGAGAGAGTCCAGAGAAGAGCAACAAATTATTAAAGATCTAGAAACCATGACCTATGGGGGAAGATAGAAAAAATTGGGTTTGTTTAGTCTGGAAAAGAGATTGGTGGGGGGACAGGGGACGGAGAGGGGAATGATAAGTTATCAAGTACATAAAAGATTGTTACAAGGAGGAAGGAGAAAAATTGTTCTTCTTAACCTCTGAGGATAGGACAAGAAACAATGGGTTTAAACTGCAGCAAGGGAGGTTTAGGTTGGACATTAGGAAAAGCTTCCTAACTGTCAGGGTGGTTAAGCAAGGGAATAAATTGCCTAGGGAAATTGTGGAATCTCCATCATTGGAGATTTTTAAAAGCAGGTTAGACAAACACCTGTCAGGAATGGTCTAGATAATACTGCCATGAGTGCAGGGGACTGGACTAGATGACCTCTTGAGGTCCCTTCCAGTCCTATTATTCTAAGATTAAAAACTGCCTGTTCCCTAAGCTTTTGGAGAGAACATAAAGAGGAAAGAATGGCCCCATTCTCCTATTATTTGTTTGTTTTTTGCACTGACATATAGGGAACTTTAGAAATAATTTTGTTGTTGTTGTTTTTACAGACAATGAGGGGCAAGTCAGGCTTGTTTCCTCCCTTAGTTCTCTATTTCTAGGATCACTGGAAAGTAAAAGCAAGTTAGCAATCATAGATACATTTTCCTGCTGCTATAAATGAAATTAAACATTGAAATTGTTGCAGAAAGGAATGCCAGTAAAAACAGCTTGACAAGTTTAAGAAGATGTTTGAGATGCAAAGAATGACAGAGATCTTGAACTCTCAAATTAACTCCTTTACAGCTAAGTGTTCTCCATGGGGTATAGTTATTACTGTACATAAGTTTTAATTACCATCCAGTATTGACTTGTAACTCCTACTTAGAAATTAGATGTCACTCATATTATTTAATCTAGAAATAGAGTGGGTTTTTTTGACTGTCTATCCTGGTTAGTTTAGTTACCATCAATTCCCATTCTCATAGCTTTCATGTTATAATTTATGGCCCCAGTTCTTCAGACACTTATGCATGTGCTCAACTTTGAGCATGTGAACAGTTTCACTAAAGTAAGTGGGGCTACTTAACTTAGAGATAAGTACATGTGTGTTTGCATGATTGTTCATGGATGTATTGGTTGCTGTGTTTGACATGTCTTTGTATGAGGTATGAGGTGCATTTAGCTTATGAAAGATCTAGTAAAGAACTACTTTTAACAGTATTCTAGGTAGTTCAAGAATATTTATGGGAATAAGATTTGCAGCTCGGGACAGTTGATATGTGTTTCTAGGGCAGGCCACAACTTCACAGTATTAGAAACATGGGTGCTTTTGAAATTTTACCCTAAGTCCCATTTTCAAAAGTGACCTGGCACTTAGGAGCCTAAGTCTTATTGAAAGTCAGTAGGAACTAGACTGCTCAGTCACTTTTGAAAATGGGACTTAGAGGTGCTCTAGAAACATTTGTCTCATCATCTTATGCATTAAAAATGTCTGATGGATTGAGTTAGTGTCTTCACCTTGGGAAAATTACTTCTAAATTTATCTTAGATCTAGGGTGATCATACATCCCATTTTGGCCAGGACAGTCCCTTTTTTAAGTTCTGTCCTGGCCGTCCTACCTTTTTTTTTTTTTGGCCGAAGTGGGCATTTGTCCTGTTTGCTGTTGCCAAGTAATAATCAGTTGCCAAAAGCAGATGGGATTAATGCCCACTTTTGCCAATAGATGTGTGACCCCTAGTGGGGCGTGGAGGAACATGTGGGGCTGGGGGGGCAGCAACGCCAGCCCCACCTGGGAGGAAGGGCTCAGGAAAGTAGCTTGGGCCAGGCTGGCCCCACATGGGCAGGCATCAGGGGCACTTGGGCCTCCTTGCACATGGGGAGGAGAGGGGGGCCTTGGGCTGGCCCTGCATGGGTGGGTGGTAGGGTGGCTTGGGCCAGCCCCTTGGACATCCAATTTTCCCTTTGGGAAAATATGGTCACTCTACTTAGATCACAAATGAAATGAGTTGGATGGTCTCAACCAAGTCCCTATTAGAAAATTATCCACATCACAAACCATCCATATAGTCTGGCATAATTAGCAATTCAGATGACCACAGCGGGAGAGTAGGAACACAGCAGGTCAGGATTGAGGGCTGACCGAAGCTTCCCCCCATGCAGCACAGTCAATGCCTGTTTTTCATAGCCTGCAAACTCCATGCTACTCCAATTCTGCTGAGTTGCCCCTGAGAAAAGTGTGTCAATTACATCAAACTGTGCTAAAAGCTCTTGTGATTTTGTGGCATGAATGTATGTTTTCTGATTCAGCTCCTTTTTACTGGGGAATGAGGTACCGTTTTGAACCTAGGTGTTCCTATAAGGAAGACATCCGCTAATATCACTGTACCATCTACCTCCTTCTCTTCCCACTCCCTGGTGCTTGAATACAAAAATAGTTTCCAAACTGCCTGGATAAGTAGCTTCGCTTGTGTCCCATGATCTGTATGGTATGTCTGGAATCACAAACTTGCTGTTTTAATAGCTGGCAGAGAAAGACCCACAGAGAGATAACATGCTCAATATGCAAGATTTTCTGCATGTTCAAGCAGGAGAGAGGGGATAGCATGCTCCATCTTCAGAAGCTCCTGTTGTCTACATTCTTAATGACCCAGCATGCCTGCTGTCTTTTGTCTTTCTTTAGTGCACTCCAGCTCAAAGGTAGGGATATAATAAATATGTTAATGCAC